ATTTGGTATGGTAAGCAATTCATGGCCAACCCGGATGCCAAGTTACTTAATACAAATGTGACTCATTTGTGGATAACTATGAAAAAGAGTCTCTTTAAAGTCCACCCTCAGGCATTGGTTGTTTAATGAATCTCATAAAATTCTCACTAATTTTTTGTTCCAAGAAAAGTATTTTTAAAAGGTATTACTGCGCAATTGAACAGTTGGAAAAACAGAAAATACTTAAAAATAGTCCAGTCTTCATTACAAAATTTGCTTTGTAGCATGCTGTTTCAAATAAAAAACAGAATTCAGTTGAAGGTTGAGATAATTTGGCGCTCGACTAAAGTCTCCATTTGGGTTAGACTCATTAGCTTGCTTCAAGTTCAATTGAACCAGTGTTTTGATTCTGCTTTATCACTGACTCAGCCTTTGCATAAACTCCTCCAGCGTTAAAATCTTCATGAACAGATCAAAGAATGCCAGTAGGTACTTTAGAAGTTGTAACACAAACTGGATCTGCTGGTACTCTCTGGCGCACCGCATGTCTATTGAGGAAAGCAACATCAAATTAAAGATTGCGCGAAAAAAAATCCAACCGCACATAATGAAGGTCTAAGCATTGATCGGATTGTTTTGGCGCCTAGTTTAAAACAAGCATTTTTCATTTCTAATTTGCTGTACCATTTGCTACTTCTGCAGAGCAGCAAATGTGACTGAAAAACCCCTAATATATTAAACACTTTCACTAATAAAAATCTTGATCGGCTTGAAAAAATTGCAATGAAAAAAAGGAGAGAATTTGGCGTAAAATGTGGAACAATTGTGTTTGTTTGCTTATTGACAATGAATGGAATGCTGTTTAGTTTTTATTTAAGTTCAACCAACGATATTAAACTAAGTTACGATTATGTGTCCAGTTTGACAAACAGGAAGTACTTTTCGCCCAAAATCTTTACAGATTATTCAATTCGAGGCCAGTTTAGCTCGACATGGGTCAAAGATGAGAGTTGGAAAAACGTCAAAGTGCTCTGTTTTGTGGTGACAAACACAGAAGTATTAGGTTAGAGTTCTTCTCATAAAAAACTTTTCAGCTTTTCGAGACATATTCGAATTATCCGAATTCCCACAATTTTGTTGTAGCGTTGCATTTTTTGCAACAAAACTTATTGTTTCGGTTATTCAAGAGTTGGCAAATTTTTTTTTACTTTCTAATCAATAATTATTAGTATCAAAAATAAAGCTCTTGAATGAAATTGAATCCATGTGTTATGTCGCGCTGATTCATTATTTTTGCTTTCTGCAATGAAATTTTTACAGATTTAAGCTAATAATTATTGCCATAGTCTAAAAGAGACTTTGACCTTGGAATCATTGAACAAATTAAGTGTTACATCACAGTTTGACTTTCTACTGAGTGTCCGGGTTGATAAAAATCGCTAGTCATATACTATCACAATTGTCAAACTAGCATTTCACAAGCCCAGAAAACTGCCTGATACCTCTAGGATTTTTTGTTTTTTCAAATGTGCGACTAGCTTTTTCTCGTTGGGTGTCGAGAAGTTTGTTTTAAAAAATTCGTAGAAAAAACGATATTGTAAAAAATTGAAATTTTTTTTCATGATTTTCTCCATTTCATAGACTTTCTTTAAGATTTGTTCGCTTTTTCACATATTTTGAGCATTTCATCAAGGTTCAAGAAAGACAAAATTAGAATATTGTGGAATGTGTTTTTCTGCTGTCTAGTTTATGCATTTCAGAAACCGCTTCGTCCAATTCATCTTTATTTAGTGCATTCTTAGGATCAACGATTCTAATAGGCTAAAAATATTTAATTATTTAAAAACTAAACGTTCGAAATATGAATTCTAGCGTTTAGAAGTTTCGAGAAATTTTTAATATCGGGCATGCAATTTCTTCGATTTGAAGTTCCGTCGACGACCTGTTGCCCTAGATCCTTTCTCAGCATGTGAAAGTAAACATTTTTCGACTTTCGCTTAACGTTTTTGTGATCAGTTTTGATCAGAAAAATTAAAAATTGCTCAGATGAGATAACCGCCAAAACTCACACAGATTAACAGCACTTGGAGACTCGCCATAAAAGTTACTTTTGTGATTTCACACACATTATTAAATGAAAAAAAAATTGAAACTTTTTGTGCACGGCTGAAAACCTTCTTTTTTGAAAAGTTGAATTTTTGTAAACCGCGGCCTCCTTTTTTGACAGAAATTAGATTTCAAGTTAATATATAAAACAAACAATTTCTGGCTTCAAGCAAAACACATACTGATTTCTATTAGCTTTGTTCATAAAGACTGTGCATGGACTACGTAATAGACAAAATCACTCAAGTTTTGCATTGCTAGAACTTGTTTCGATATTTATTCATTTATGCCTTAAAATTAGTCGGACAAAACATTTTTTTCGACTGAAGCTGCTTGACTAGTTTTTGTAATGAAAAAAAGACGCGTCAATTTTTTGGGTTTTTGTCTCTAAGATCAGCTTTGATATCAATACACAGGGTATCAGCTTTGAAGATCCTCAGTCTTAGTTTAAAAAATATTTTGAAAACAAAAAATACTAGTCACCCGGGTTGACCAAAACTTCTAATCATACAATTTCCATTTATGAAAAACTTCTTGTCATACAATTCCATTCAATGCCATACGTACAGAACATTGTATGAAATCTCTATGATAAAGATTTTTCCATAAATGAATACTGTATGATAGGTGTTTTCCATAAACCAAAAATTTTGATGTTTTCTTTCAAAATTTAGTTTCTGAAAAGTTTTTGGTTGTGTTTGCAACCGAACACAAGTGACAAAGACCTTGGTTACTCAAAACACCAAAGGTTGGACGGTCTTGCATTTACAATGCGTAGCAAACGACCTGAATATGGATGTTTTTCACAATTGATATAACAAAAGTAACGAACTTTTATATTTTGGCAAAATTTTTTAATGATGATTATTTTAAATTTTTGAACTTTCAAGTTATCAGACATTGATCAAGGCTTACATTAACACCCCATACAAAGAAATAGGAATTTTCAGCGTTTTTGAAAAAAAAATTCAAGTGAAAAGAAAATAAAAGCCAATTTTATTGTATCCAGGACTACGTTATGCACACAAAAAATTAAATTTTGCATGCAAAAAAAAATTTCGAAAAATGTTTGTTTGCGTACGAAATTCGATTTGCAGTTGAAAAAAAAACAAAAATTTTTTTGGGCCAAATTTTCAAAATTACTTAAAAATTTTTTGTGTCGCCATCAAAAAAATGCCAGTCATACAATTCCCATATATGGGAATTGTATGATAAGCATTTTTTTCAAAAAAAACGAGAACCTCAGTTTTTTATCACCAGACTGTTTTATAAGAATCTAACATCCACAGAAATAATTTTATACCAGTTTTCAACCATTTTTAGAAATTGTATGAAAATTGTATGACACGCATTTTTCCATACACTTGATGTATCGAATTGTATGATAACCATTTTCGGTGTATGGAGGTCAACCCGGGCATGCAGTTTGTAGGAGAAAACATTTTTTGAAAAAATGCTAGTCATACAATTCATACAAATGGTGAAATTGCAAGACTGGCGTTTTTTAAGCCTTTGACGTGAAGTTTTAATACTGGCATTTTCTTTGTGTAGATGTCAACAAAAATAAATTCAGAAAAAAGAAATTAGCTGGAATTTGACTTAAACTGAATATAGACTATTCAAGCAACACCATTAACATTTTAAATCCTTGAGGTTTTAAGAAATTCGATAACATATTTTCTTAATTTATAAAATCTTTGATGCTCAGGAATAATATCAATTTAGATCAAATCCTTGGGCGTTTCATAAACGAAGCGTCAAATTTTTTGTTCGTAATCGTACCCTCCAAAAAATCCAAGTTTCTGTTATTTGCAATTCAGCTTGCTCAACTGAAGAACAAGTTGCGAAATGCTATACTTCTAAAAAATTATTGGACAAAGTCTTAGTTTTGTGCAATATTTCTGAACTTTAAACTAGAAACAATTAGAAACTGCTTTTTTTTTAGTTTTTGCTTTTCTTTTTTTTCGGCGTTTTATGAGCCTTCTTCTCACTCTGAAAAACTATTAAAAAGTTGCAAAAAATGGACAGAATTTATTAAAAACAGCAATCCGCCCATTGTGCGCAACTTTTGCAAGCACATTTGAGCATTCAGATGGTCTTGACATTTGAGCTTTCGGAAAGCTCACGGTCACCGATATTGCCAACAATTTATAACTAATTAAAAGAAAAATTCAATCATGTTGCATTGATCTTTTGCGAAATGCTATACTTCTAAAAAATTATTGGACAAAGACTTAGTTTTGTGCAATATTTCTGAACTTTAAACTAGAAACAATTAGAAACTGCTTTTTTTTTAGTTTTTGCTTTTCTTTTTTTTTCGGCGTTTTATGAGCCTTCTTCTCTCTCTGAAAAACTATTAAAAAATTGCAAAAAATGGACAGAATTTATTAAAAACAGCAATCCGCCCATTGTGCGCAATTTTTGCAAGCACATTTGAGCATTCAGATGGTCTTGACATTTGAGCTTTCGGAAAGCTCACGGTCACCGATATTGCCAACAATTTATAACTAATTAAAAGAAAAATTCAATCATGTTGCATTGATCTTTTGACAGTTCAATGCATTTTCGAAAACTTCGTTGCTTTTTAGTGTCCTTGCACTGTCTGACGATCAAAATTTTTTCAGAAGTATAAGAAATTTTGCGATAAATTTTCCAGAAACTGTGTAACGATATCAAAGACAGTTTCATGCACAATATTAGTCAACCAACACGAAACATTTCTTTGAAACTGATTTTCAATAACACTATACTTATGCAAAACATTCAATGAAATGGATTTTAAAGGCACCAAAAATTCAAAACTGGGTTCAAACAGCAGATTTTTGAAAATTCAATCAAGTTACTAGTTATCGTTCGTAAGATTAAATTGATGTTTTACCTTTTTATTTTCTCGCCTGATTAATTGCTTATTGACAATGAATGGAATGCTGTTTAGTTTTTATTTAAGTTCAACCAACGATATTAAACTAAGTTACGATTATGTGTCCAGTTTGACAAACAGGAAGTACTTTTCGCCCAAAATCTTTACAGATTGTTCAATTCGAGGCCAGTTTAGCTCGACATGGGTCAAAGACGAGAGTTGGAAAAACGTCAAAGTGCTCTGTTTTGTGGTGACAAACACAGAAGTATTAGGTTAGAGTTCTTCTCATAAAAAACTTTTCCGCTTTTCGAGACATATTCGAATTATCCGAATTCCCACAATTTTGTTGTAGCGTTGCATTTTTTGCAACAAAACTTATTGTTTCGGTTATTCAAGAGTTGGCAAAATTTTTTTTACTTTCTAATCAATAATTATTAGTATCAAAAATAAAGCTCTTGAATGAAATTGAATCCATGTGTTATGTCGCGCTGATTCATTTTTTTTGCTTTCTGCAATGAAATTTTTACATATTTAAGCTAATAATTATTGCCATAGTCTAAAAGAGACTTTGACGTTGGAATCATTGAACAAATTAAGTGTTACATCACAGTTTGACTTTCTACTGAGTGTCCGGGTTGATAAAAATCGCTAGTCATATACTATCACAATTGTCAAACTAGCATTTTACAAGCCCAGAAAACTGCCTGATACCTCTAGGATTTTTTATTTTTTCAAATGTGCGAATAGCTTTTTCTCGTTGGGTGTCGAGAAGTTTGTTTTAAAAAATTCGTAGAAAAAACGATATAGTAAAAAATTGAAGTTTATTTTCATGATTTTCTCCATTTCATCGACTTTCTTTAAGATTTGTTCGCTTTTTCACATATTTTGAGCATTTCATCAAGGTTCAAGAAAGACAAAATTAGAATATTGTGGAATGTGTCTTTCTGCTGTCTAGTTTATGCATTTCAGAAACCGCTTCGTCCAATTCATCTTTATTTAGTGCATTGTTAGGATCAACGATTCTAATAGGCTAAAAATATTTAATTATTTAAAAACAAAACGTTCGAAATATGAATTCTAGCGTTTAGAAGTTTCGAGAAATTTTTAATATCGGGCGTGCAATTTCTTCGGTTTGAAGTTCCGTCGACGACCTGTTTCCCTAGATCCTTTCTCAGCATGTGAAAGTTAACATTTTTCGACTTTCGCTTAACGTTTTTGTGATCAGTTTTGATCAGAAAAATTAAAATTTGCTCAAATGAGATAACCGCCAAAAATCACACAGATTAACAGCACTTGGAGACTCGCCATAAAAATTACTTTTGTGATTTCACACACTATTAAATGAAAAAAAAATTGAAACTTTTTGTGCACGGCTGAAAACCTTCTTTTTTGAAAAGTTGAATTTTTGTAAACCGCGGCCTCCTTTTTTGACAGAAATTAGATTTCAAGTTAATATATAAAACAAACAATTTCTGGCTTCAAGCAAAACACATACTGATTTCTATTAGCTTTGTTCATAAAGACTGTGCATGGACTACGTAATAGACAAAATCACTCAAGTTTTGCATTGCTAGAACTTGTTTCGTTATTTATTCATTTATGCCTTAAAATTAGTCGGACAAAACATTTTTTTTCGACTGAAGCTGCTTGACTAGTTTTTGTAATGATAAAAAGAGGCGTCAATTTTTTGAGTTTTTGTCTCTAAGATCAGCTTTGATATCAATACACAGGGTATCAGCTTTGAAGATCCTCAGTCTTGGTTTAAAAAATATTTTGAAAACAAAAAATACTAGTCATGCAGTTTGTAGAAGAAAACATTTCTTGAAAAAATGCTAGTCATACAATTCATAAAAATGGTGAAATTGCAAGACTGGCGTTTGTTTAGCCTTTGATGTGAAATTTTAATACTGGCATTTTCTTTGTGTAGATGTCAACAAAAATAAATTCAGAAAAAAGAAATTAGCTGGAATTTGACTTAAACTGAATATAGACTATTCAAGCAACACCATTAACATTTTAAATCCTTGAGGTTTTAAGAAATTCGATAACATTTTTTCTTAATTTATAAAATCTTTGATGCTCAGGAATAATATCAATTTAGATCAAATCCTTGGGCGTTTCATAAACGAAGCGTCAAATTTTTTGTTCGTAATCGTACCCTCCAAAAAAATCCAAGTTTCTGTTATTTGCAATTCAGCTTGCTCAACTGAAGAACAAGTTGCGAAATGCTATAGTTCTAAAAAATTATCGGACAAAGTCTTAGTTTTGTGCAATATTTCTGAACTTTAAACTAGAAATAACTAGAAACTGCTTTTTTTTAGTTTTTGCTTTTCTTTTTTTTTCGGCGTTTTATGAGCCTTCTTCTCTCTCTGAAAAACTATTAAAAAAATTGCAAAAAATGGACAGAATTTATTAAAAACAGCAATCCGCCCATTGTGCGCAATTTTTGCAAGCACATTTGAGCATTCAGATGGTCTTGACATTTGAGCTTTCGGAAAGCTCACGGTCACCGATATTGCCAACAATTTATAACTAATTAAAAGAAAAATTCAATCATGTTGCATTGATCTTCTGACAGTTCAATGCATTTCCGACAACTTCGTTGCTTTTTAGTGTCCTTGCACTGTCTGACGATCAAAATTTTTTTCAGAAGTATAAGAAATTTTGCGATAAATTTTCTAGAAACTGTGTAACGATATCAAAGACAGTTTCATGCACAATATTAGTCAACCAACTCGAAACATTTCTTTGAAATTGATTTTCAATAACACTATACTTATGCAAAACATTCAATGAAATGGATTTTAAAGGCACCAAAAATTCAAAACTGGGTTCAAACAGCAGATTTTTGAAAATTCAATCAAGTTACTAGTTATCGTTCGTAAGATTAAATTGATGTTTTACCTTTTTATTTTCTCGCCTGAATTTGGGCTTATCCAATCATCTCAGCATACAGCTACTGAGAGTGATTTGGCATAAAGAATTTCTACACTCAAAAATTCTGTAAAATTCTAGATGAACAAAAAGCTGAAAACAATACAATCAAGCAATATTTTTTATGTTGTTGTAACAAACTTGTTTGCTTGCTGTTTATTCAGCCGGGCAACTCTTGTTGAGTTTTTTAAATTAGTTTCACTCGTTTTAGGGGTGAGAAGTTTGGAAATCTGTTAAATGGAGATTTGAAAACAAAATTGCTAAACCGAGATCTCATTGAAAAGTTGATTTTAGAAGGAACTATAAAAAATATACAGACTTCAGATTTGTTGTAACTTTATATGATATTACTTCGATTATGTGGTTTTAATAATAGATTATAATGCATTTTGTTCGGCAAAAATTTTATATATTTTGTATCTTCATTATATTATCATAATTAAAACACTCTGCAACTGTTTTTTTTTGTATATCAAATTTCATACGTACTATACACAGATCAAATGCAGATTGTTCAAACATTATCTACAGATTACATAGAGATTATATACAGATTAAATACAGACTACATACAATTTATACACAGATTTTATACAGACAATATACAAAATATATACAGACTAATATATTGAAATAAAATTATAACGTAAGCTTTTTATTGAAACTTTGTACTGATATTTGATCTAACAAACTTTTTAAAATCCTTTTTGTAAAAATAAGTTGCAGCAATAACTATTTGCACTTTATTAATTGTTTTTGGGTAGTATGTTGAAATTTTTGCCATAAAATTGCGCTGAAAAATTTGGTTTTTTAAATGGTACTTAAAAAGATTTTTTAAATGGCACTTAAAAAATTTCTGCAAAAAATTGTTTTTCTTACGAAGAAAGTCCTTGATGCAAAATTTTAGAGTGATCTCTGGAAACGTTTAGCTTGTGGTAAACATTTTTCCTAAAATGATTTCAGCTCAAGTGAGTTCAGATTCTTCTGTATATAATCGAGTTTTCTCCATTTATGTCATGAATTTTCTCCATTTATATCACTGCGGGGTCACGCCCCTCGCCTCAGGGATTCAACCCTTTTGCCACTTAATGGATAACCCTTTATTACTACTGTTCGACATTCATTTTTGGCCGACAAAACCTGATTTGTTTCTAGTAACGCCATAGGCGCCAATATGGTCCAACTTTGAGGGGGTAACACCGAGAAACAATTTTCCTGATTACAAATTTCATTTAAATTTGTGAAAAAAATAACAATTGAAACTCTGACTGTTCAAAACTCAATTTGTAACGTCCTCTATACTTTTTAAGCATCATAATCAATTGTGTACAGGTTTTATCTAAATATTATCCCTATATTATAAAAAAAATTATTTGATGAAAATTATAAAAGTACAGAATTTTTAGAGCTGAAAAATCAATTTTTTTAGCATTATAATCTATGTTTTTTTGGTGAACAAAAAATTCTATCTATCCGTATAAAATCGATTCTCGTACGGAAAATGGTTGTAGATAAATTGACTCTTTTCTCACGTCAAGTGAGTTCAGATTCTTCTGTATATAATCGAATTTCATCCATTTTTGTCACTGCGGGTCACGCCCCTCGCCTCAGGGGTTGGACCTTTTTGCCTCCTATGTGGGAACTCTTTAGTACTATTGTTCCACATTCATTTTCGTCCAGCAGAACTTGATTTTATTTCTAATAGCGCCAGAGGCGCCAATATGTTCTAACTTTGAGGGGGTAGCACGCGGAGTTTTGGACCAAAATGTACCCAAAAACTTCCTAGAGCTCCGAAACCTAATTGGGTTGACCTAAAATATCCCAAACTAAATAATAGAGAATTTCGAAAGGTTATGTTATAGCCTTAGTTAAAAATTGACATGCATTCTTTTGATGAAAAAACTCATTCAAACTCTCAATTGATTTTTGGATATATTTCAAACTCAAAAAATTAAATCTTACTACCCACTTCTTACTCTTTTTTTTCAGACACCCAGACCAAATACATCCTCCAGTCGTGGGGACCCAAATGCGACATCACTCTCTACATCGCAGACAAAAACAACTTCACCTTCCCCACGGTTAAAGTCACAGAAATGGGTAAACACTCAAAGTATGTTGTATGGGTTCCTAGATATTTTCCCAAATCTACTAATTGAGACGTAGCGCTCGTTTCAAAGACGGTTTCAATCTCACAATTCCTTTTGCGACCAATTTTTTTAATGCTGCAAGTTTTTCTAGAATAGATTAATAATTTATTTAAAAAATGCTCGCACTTATATGTGAAGGAGTTCGACCAATTAGGGATCCATCTTCCAAACTTGTTTGTTTCATAAATAGAAGGACCTCAATGGACGTGGACCAAAGTGAGAAATGCTCTAAAATTGATCCATGACAAGTATTGGAGCCAAGTGGACTGGATTCTCAAAGTAGAAGATGACTCATATGTTCACGTGCCGAACTTGAGGAAATTCTTAGCTGGACGAGACAAGACGAAGACAGACGAATATTTTGGACAGCGTTTCGCCCCTTATGTAGAAGGTTAGCGATATCAATTACTTAAAGGAATGTTTTATCATGCAGGGCAAAATAACTTCGGGGAGGGTTGCTGCGAGAAAACGAATCTTGAGTGTATAAAAGGTAAATGATCTTTTCTAAGTAGTAAACTCAAGTTTCATTGTCTCCCAACAAACTTCCCCGAAAATCTAATGCCCTGCAACACAAGAAAAGATAAAGTTACACCCAGTAGATAGCAAGGTCATCAAAACGATTGTTTACATATTGTCATACGAGATTGACAAACGTGATCATATTTATGTATAAGCTCACTATGATGAGTAAACTTTTCTGTTTGTTCGGTTGATCTCGCAAAGATACCCAGCATTAAGAATACGAGCTAAAGCTCAGACAACAATAAATGGTTTCATAACTCAGTTGTTTTTATCTCGCTTACGTATGAGACCTCGTTCATCAATCCGTTCGGATTCAATATCAGTCACGATCATACTCAGCGGTATGACATGGCACAGCCAGGAGGTTTTTCGAAAAACCCGTTAAAAATTAATCCATTTTGGAAGAAGTCGTCAGCTGAACTACCATTTGAACGGTCTAAATGGGCAGAACTACATGAGATGGCGGTGTTCGCAAAAGATAGAATCGAGGTACGAAACTTACTAAAAGCTAAGCTTGCACTATTCGTACCCGCAGAATCCATACTTGAAGTCGAAATAACTGGTGGGACGGAGGCACAGAAAAAAAACGCGACGTGAAAACCCAAAGAAGAAAGTCGGTTTGGAAGACCGCGATCAAAAAACCAGAGAAAACGGCGTCCTGTCTCCTTGGGACAAGGCTGATGCAAAAGTCCGCAGTTATCTCTTTCTATGTCTCGGCGCGGAGGGACAGCGCTAGGTTCACCAAAAGAGGCCAAGCCTCGACTTGCACAGTGTTTCAACAAAATAGCTCATGACAATCTAACAAGATATTTTTGTGACCACAAGGATTATAGCGTTCGAACGGTACAATTTTATCTGTAGAAAACAAAAGAAAAATGAACGCCTAGAGCAATTCCACGATGACCTGGTCGAGTTGGCTTTGCAAGCCGTTTGTGGAGATTGAGAAGACGAGTGGCGAATTCCGTGGTAAGGCACACGGGGAACACGAAACACAAAAGGTCAAAAACCACAAACTCACTAAAATCTACAACGAAGTCAATGTTATAGGTGCGGCAAACAATTCGGTCCCAACCACTTACAATCGTGCCAAGCAAAAGACAAAAATAGCTCAAAGTGAGCCAAACGGGGCCACTTTGCAAAGAATGTAGATCTACGAACGTCAACTATCCGGAGGATAGGAACGACGAACCACTAGAAGAAGAAGTGGACAACGACAACGAAATGGCAGAAAATTACCCAGTTGCGTTTGCGGAATTCACATCCACGGACGGATGGGAAGAATTCCAAATGGATAAACTTTCAGTTATAGCAATATCAAAATCATTTGAAGCAAAGAACACACAGACATATTGACTGAATATGACCTCAACGGCCACCGCGTAAATTTGAAAACAAGGACGGAGGTCATATTCGCCATCCTCGAACTGGGAAGCCCGATGTCACTTTCAAACCTGAATATACTTGAAGAAACCGCTAGAATTTTAGCGTGTTATAACGGTGAATACATCCTTCCAAATGGGAGACTCATTATCGCTAAAGAAACCGGAGGCTGGACAATACAATCCGCATCGTTCATCACCGTAGATGACCAAAAGCAAACATAATAGGTAGAAACCTATTACCACATTTAGGAATCAAATTGATTCAAGAAAAACCAAAACGATATCAAATGTAAAGTAAACAAAAATGGGAGAGTCAAACACCGAGGTGAAACAGTGGGTCAAATAAAATTTCAAACAAATGTGCAAACGAATCGGAAAATAAGAAAATCACGTAATGCGAACGCAATTCAGCAAAGACTCAACGCCGATTCAACAAGAAGGGCGCTGAATTTCAATACAATTACAAGAGCTGGTTGAGATAGAACTCAACAAACTAATTGATCAAAACCAAATAATCAAATTGAGCAAATGTTTGGATCAATAGTTTATTAGCCCAATTGTTATAACCTTAAAAAAAGATCAAACAGTCAAGTTGGCACTAGATTCTAAAAAGATCAACAATTTTATCTACAAAAAATTAAATACCAAATGCCAAACCTTGATCTGCTTTTAGATGAATTTAGACAAGTGGTAGAATCAGAGAAAGCTGAACAAACACAACTTTTAACGGTTGATCTGCGGAACGCTGATTCAAAATTCCCGTTGGAAAAACAAACCAGAGATCAATGCAACTTTAGCCGCCACTTGGACTTACCAATTTCAGACTGATTTTTACGGCCTCACAGATATTCCGGCCGTTTTTCAGAAAGCATTTGACCTGGCCCTCACGAAATGTACAAAAACATAGGCTTATTTGGACGACATATTGATAATAACGAAAGTATCCTCCAAATTACATTAAGAAAATTTACAAACACTTCTGAAAAAAAATACCCCAGAACATCTCGCAATATTTCTGAACAAATGAAATTTTGAAAGCAAACAAGTTGAATGCTAAGGTTACAACATAAGCAGTGAAGGAAAGAAACCACTCATAAAGAAAACAGAGGCTATTGAAAAACTAACACCACCAAAACTTTCAAACAAATGAAAAGTTTCATAGAACTATACATCACCTCACACAGTAAAAACCTTATTTAGCACAAATTGCTACCAACCACCACTCACTGCTAAAAAGTACACAGAAAAAAAACCACTTAATGAAAACCTGAACACAATGCAGCTTTCAATAACATTCTCAAGTTAGTTTCAGAAATAACTCAAAATAAATGTTTTGTCCAAAACCTAGATACCCGCGTGGTTTGCGATGCATCCACATCATCCGCACTAGGGGCAGCATTGGAGCGAAATTCTCAGGAAGGTTGGTTGACCATAGCTTGTGCGTCACGTTTTCTAAATTTTCTACAAGAAAATATTCTGTCAACGAACTAAAAATACTCGGGGTAGTTTGTATGATCAAACATGTTATTTAACTTATACGGAAAAAACCTGGCCGTCATCACGGACAATGAAGCTCTAATCAGCGCATAAAGGGCAAGCAAAACATCCAAAACCAGTCAAAGTAATTTAAACCGATGGATCGACTTGTTAATTACCTTTAAATTTGACCTTAAACGCTTGGCGGGGAATAAAATGGGACTAATAGACAATTTGATACGGAATACAGTTGGGTTAGCATGCGACAAGGAGTCTGAAGTATAATCAATTAATTCAATCACAAACAATCTTGAAATAATTGACAACATCATACTGAAAAGTCTAGCCAATCAAAACAGAGCACCATATCGGCTGATCGAAAAGCGCAAGGAAAATAAAAGAACGCTTAAAAGTACTTCCAAAAACTCAAATCAAATTCAAAAATTCCGCACTTTCTGGAAGCGGTCATTCTCAAACAGTTACATCAAATCAGTTCCGCACAAAACCATCTCAAACTCAGTCGTGCATAAATTGCAACAAACACTCTAAAAAACTTGTCCACTTGATTCAAGATAATCAAAACACAATGTGACGTCGAAAGGATTTCAAGGGGTTAAAGGGTGGTTTCCTTCCGGTAGAAATAACCACACTCGACCACTCGACTCAAGACGTAGGAGCAAAACGCAATGGCATGGTGCATCAGATGGGAAGAAGAGCTTGTCTGACAACCGAAAAACATCCGCATACGAGAGCCGGACGAAATCAACAACAACCAAGCCACAATCAAAAACTACGCCCCCGACAACAACAGGAGTCAACAATTCGCGGGAGCTACTCACAGCTAAACTTAAGAAACAATCACTCCTACCGAAGAATGTTTTCACCGGACACCAAAACTCAATCGACATCAACACTTAATAGAATCACTAACCACACAGAAGACCTTAGAACCTCAGCTTCCAAACAAATTGAACTCGCCATCGAAGTGCAGGAAACGCACGAGCACTACGTAAGCCGCTTGCAGTCTCCAACACAATGCAGTCAAGAGGAACTCGGACCAAATATCGCAAATAACACAAGTAGAGGCCAGCCACAATCTGATCACAAAGAAACATCAAACGGGATAAAAACACCGAATCGGAACAGTCAAACAGGATACAAACACCGAATTTTAAGAAGACACGCCTCTGTTTCTTGGCAAATTACATAAAGTTCTCGGAGTGCGATTCAATGCCGCCGCCACCAGGAGAGATCGAAAAATGCGGCCACTCATCTTTTGTATCAAGAAACGAGACCGGGAGGCCCTCAAAACCTCTAATGGGCAAGATTGATTCAACATTTGGAACAGAATACATAAGCGATAAGATTGTCTTATGATCGATGATAGAATCATCAGCACGACGCAACTACGACAATCAGTGCTAGACAGCATACATTCACCGCACCCTGGATCAGCAGCTATGTTGAATCTGTTCCAACATGTTTGGTTTCCAACAGATTGCACTGCCGATATTGCACGAAACAAGGTCAACACCTCACACCAAGAATAAGAAAACAGCACTCGTTCCAAATGGAGCCAGTGGTAGAACCAATCGAAAAAATCCAATTGGAGTTTGCCGGGCCCCTCCCTGACGAACTAAAGAGGGAAGCATTTATTTTGGTTGCAATAAATGAATGGTCAAAACTTCCCACTGCAAAAGTTGTCTCAAACACAACGGCAGACATTGTCATAAAGTTTATGCAAGGACACATCACGAACAATTGGGTACCCCGAAGATTAAG